TCACTCACTCACGTCAGTAATCCGGAAAATTTTCTCAGGTTCGCTCCCAGCGAAGGCCCACGACTTTGCACTGTATCCAGGCCACAGTTGACAAGTTGCCGACCCAAGCTTGGTCCCTTCAGTCCCCGCTGCCTTACTTGGCGGCCCATTGAAGCATTCCTCACCTCCGCCGGTGATTGCTGATGCCTCTGCAGTCCACTCCTCTCTGCCTTGTTCCAAAACAGCGTATGTGTGGTCCATGGCTGCACGGCGGACGGGTTAGTGGTTGTTAGGGAGGGAAGCAAGGGATAAAACATGATAAAGTAGGGGCTAAAGGGCAGGGGGTCAAGACCAGACCGACAGACAGGACTAGCATGTCAAGTCAGTCATCATCTCAAGCAAGCATCATCATGCACAGCATCAGAACATGCAATGCAGCATGCAACAGTCCAGCAGCAAATTCATGAATTCCAGTCCTGCAAAGGGAAAAAGCAGCAGCTCGCATGTTACACACGGGCTGCTCGACACCGCACAAGGGCTTTAGTCCTGGGAGTCAAGAACCTCGATTACGTCGTGTGTCTCATCCGCTTCCCTGGACAAGTGCAAGGCCTCAAGGAAAGTTAACTGTCGGAGCCTCTTGGGGCACGTCCCCAAAATGGTCCCGTCTTGCATGTGCATATCTGCGGCAGCAGGTAATGGGAAACCGAGGTCCTCCAGTTGTACTCTGACTCTAGGTGACGCAAATCTAGCATTGATAGTGGTGAAAGCTACCAACACTACACGCAAGGGTGCAAGCGAGGCATCTGATAGATGCCCAGCATGCAGGGTCCTTCTGGCGTCGAAAACGAACGGGGTTCGAATAGAGACTACAGTGCCCCAGAGGTCTTGATCAAGATGTCTCTTAATGCATGTGCCTACCCTGTCATGGATCCAAAGGCCCTCCCCCTCAAGTTGGTCATTCAGTCCTACTACCAGTGAGGGACATGGCCCGTTCTTGCAATCTCTGTGAATCCTGCCTGAACAGCCTCGGCGAATCACAAAGGTCGAAAACTTATGGTGTGGACACGCCTCTTTGATGTAGCTAGTTACTGCTCTGACAAAGTGCGGGTGAGAGCTGCAAAGGTGAAGAGGTATGGTAGACGATCGTGGATTGACACCACCTACTACGAAAGAGGTCTGAGGTCCACCATCACCACCATCTGTACGACGGAACGACGAACGTGGCAAGGAATCAAAGAGCTCTAGTAACTGGGCTTTACTAGGTCCTCCAGGGGTCTCAAGGATTTGCTTAGCTCTAGCTTCGACTGTTTCAGTTCGATGTTCGCGCGGGGCCTTTGGGATGGGGTGGACTGACGATAAGATAGGGGAAGTATCACTGATGGGGGAGTCCTCAAGTACAACCTCAGTTGCTTCGAGTTGTCCAGCGGCAGATTCGGGTGGGACAGGGTGGCTATGTAGGTTCACCGGTCCCGAGGCAGGCTTCAGAGGGACTGCGAACATGTTGGGCCCCCGTCTACTCCCGAATCCTGCTACTTCTGGCTGGTTGAAGCAAAATCTCGAAGACTGGTATGTGCTGTCGCAGGTAGTGCCATGACATGCTTTCACACGTGGCATCGAAACGACACTGCATGTCCATCGCCAAAAATTGGATGAAGGAGCGATCTTCTCTTGTGAGGGGTGGGAAGGGCGGAGACCCAGGGGCGGGCGGTGGGTGCAGACGGTGGTAGTCCTGTAGTGTA